ACGTGTGGAACCCGAAGCCCCCCCCCCCCCCATGTTCTAGTTATACCTACAGTGACTGAAGGGAAATACAGACTACCCTCCTCTCTCTTTAAAGCAAACAATGCATTTCATAGCAGGCACCTGCTGTACTGTACAAATCGCTATACGTACGGCATGTTACTTGTACTACATTGGGGGGAATCGCATAGCCGGTCCACACTTTCCTTCTACGAGGCATTGCATCACAAGCTGAGACAGCTCCCCTGTAGGATGACACTAAGGCCTCATTCACACAGGAATGGGCCCGCACCTACAGCGCCATGCTGCGTGAGCGGCCGTATCGGGACGCTCCCGGAAGGACAGGGGCTGCGTGTGATTAGTACGCAGCCCGTCCTCCTCTATGGGACTACGTGGCCGTACGACCCCCTTCGCTCACCGGCCCTGCACATCTGTACGGGTGAGCGTACTTGTACGTTGACAGGATGGATCCTGTCTGCGTCCTAGCCAGGACACCTGCACCCGTACGGACCTGCACTTGAGGTGAGCGTAGGGGGACGTATGGCTGCATACTCCCAATAGCCAAGGACAGGCTGCGTACTAATCACACGCAGCACCTGTCCTTCCCGGAAGCTGCCAGATACGGCCGTGCACGCAGCACCGAGCTGTACGTGCCGGCCAATTCCCGTGTGAATGACGCCTTATACTGTCCAAATCATTAAAACTCGACAGGACCCCATGTGAACATATACACAACCTTTGCCAGCTTCTCACAGGGGGCAGACAAATCACCATTCAATCCAGCAATGCATTTATTAAATCCAAAATGTATTAAAAGTGCATGTAATCTGTCTTTATATTCCTTTCGCTACATCCCCCACATGGACTGGGGGACAGTCGGTTCTGCTGCATTGCAGTGCTAGCAGTCTAGCCCAAGTCGCTTAAAGTGACATTAAACGCTCAGATTTTTTAACATAAACCAATACTGTAATGTGCGCCTTACTGTAACCCATGGTTGTTTCCCTTCTCTTTGCTGCTCTTCCTTTTAAATCCTCATGTCTTCTCATGCTGGGGGAGAACTTCCCTTAGCAGCCGACTGCCTCTTCCTGTAGTGCTGGCTCAGGTTGCAAACCAACACACAGACACCATGTATCCATTCCAGATACAAGGCAGTCTGCTTCAAAACAGAAGTTCTCCCCAGCATGAGAAGACATGAGGATTTAAAAGGAAGAGCAGCAAAGAGAAGGGAAACTACCATGGATTACAGTAAGGCGCACATTACAGTATTGGTTTATGTTAAAAAATCTGAAGGTTTAATGTCACTTTAAGGAAAAGAGTGATGACCTCATCAGTGTGGGGATGTTTATTGTCCATTTAGCAGGCCGGGCACAGATCGGTGACCAATCTGGATAAAAAATCTTCCCCTGCCTGGCTCAAAAAACTGGCTGAACAGAATTTCCTCTTGGCAGGTAAGGTAGTTTACTTACGTGTTCAGTTGTGTTTTTAGCTGTTTGGCTATAAGGTAACACATTCTAATTTGATCACAGCCTTGCCTTTGGGTCTGGCACATTTTTGTAAAGCATGTAGGCATACTACATTTGGTGCAAGGACTGGAGGCACAAAATTCACAGCTTACCTGGTAAAAAGATAACTATGGGCTAACTTTTTTTCCCCCCATAGTTCTCTTCAGGGTCATGGGAGGACATATACTAACCTCCTCCCGTGACCCAAAACTCAGTATATAGCGAGCAATTGCCCACTATATATGGAGATGGCCGCAGCTGGGACAGATCCTGAGAATACTGTTGAGATCCATCCCCTTGGCTGATTGACAGCGGACGCTACCTATCTAAATGTAGAGCCAGCTGTGCCCTCCCCTGTTCGTCCAGTCAGTGCTGGAGGATTGGAGAGCGGAGGTGGGGGAATCCCTGTGGGGTGAGGTGACTAAGTCACTGCTCTCTGCAGGTAGAGGATTGGGAAGTGAGCGAGCGATGGTATGTGGAATTGGTGGCATGTGTTCGCCGACTTCCTGATCATAAGAGCCGACCTGTGACACCTTGTCACAGGTCGGCTTGAATTATGGGAATGAGTGTTTTTCACTCACCCCATAATTCTCCTTTAAGGACTCTCTCCCAGCCCATAAGTGACCAATTAGTAAGCACCAGCGCAGTCACATGGGAGATAAAAAGGATTGGGCCACATCTTCCCGAAAACCAGTATAGGATATTCATTTAAAACCCAGCAGCTAAGCAAGAGCTGCAGAAAAGGAGAGGGACCTGTACTTGCATCTGTATGGGCAAAGCACAGGTTCACTTTAATGCAACCCACTTGTTCTTAAACTGTCAAAATAAAATAAATCATACTGATAAAGCCACGTTGATTATAGCCCCATATTAGAGTGACCCACTAAAATGCCCAACGTGCACCTGAAATTCTGCATTAGAATCCAACTATCCACTTTGGTTCAGTCCACTCGACTCATTCTCATGTGTATGCTGAGTACAAAGACTTTCCACATTTACTGGTCTCTCAAGATCGGCAGCTGTACAGACCCAGGAACCCAAATACAAAGATCTGACAACAGGGGCCCGGAAATGCCCAGCCTCCACCAGACAGACGAATATCAGTTCAAAGTGGACTGATCTGTAGCGTAAGAGAGCATGTTACGCTTGCAGATTTTTTTTTCTTTAGAATTCTTTATTTAGGTCCGAAGAGTACAAAAAACACCAGTCGAAGAACACGTGTCATTAGTGTCAGGTACTAGCCTCATGGGCTCCCCAACATTTTGCATTCTAAAGAGGTAACAGGTAGAAGCACAAGTGAGAGAAAGCAAAAATTAACACAAAGCAGATAGAAAAGAAAAAGGGAAACAAGGAAAAGTTGGAAACAAGGAAAAAGGGAAAACAAGGAAAAAGGGAAAACAAGGAAAAAGGGAAAACAAGGAAAAAGGGAAAACAAGGAAAAAGGGAAAACAAGGAAAAAGGGAAAACAAGGAAAAAGGGAAAACAAGGAAAAAGGGAAAACAAGGAAAAAGGGAAAACAAGGAAAAAAGGAGAAGGGAAATAAGGAACAAGGGAAATAAGGAACAAGGGAAACAAAGGAAAAGTTGGAAAAAAGGGAAAACAAGACAAGGGAAAACAAGGAACAAGGGAAAACAAGGAACAAGGGAAAACAAGGAACAAGGGAAAACAAAGAACAAGGGAAAACAAGGAACAAGGGAAAACAAGGAAAAAAGGAAAACAAGGGAAATAAGGAACAAGGGAAATAAGGAACAAGGGAAACAAAGGAAAAGTTGGAAAAAAGGGAAAACAAGACACAAGGGAAAACAAGACACAAGGGAAAACAAGACAAGGGAAAACAAGGAACAAGGGAAAACAAGGAACAAGGGAAAACAAGGAACAAGGGAAAACAAGGAACAAGGGAAAACAAGGAACAAGGGAAAACAAGGAACAAGGGAAAACAAGGAACAAGGGAAAACAAGGAACAAGGGAAAACAGGGAAAAAGGGAAACAAGGGAAACCAGGGAAAAAGGGAAAGAATCAACAGACTTGGAACATGACTCCATGGGCCAGGAGCCCCCACAGCTCAGCCACCACTAAGCAGAATTTCCCCAACTACGTGCCAAGAGGCAGTCAAAATCC